CACCCCGTTTCCATTTTTTGATAATCGTTATCATTTAAAAAATTTTCAAAAAAAAATTTTCTAATACCTGAAACGGTATGGAAAACAAAGCGATGACTATATCCGCCAATGCTAAATTTGCTATGAAATAATGGGTTACCGTATGCATTTGTTTACTCGTCAAAATTATCCATATGACTAATGAATTTCCAACAACAGCCGTAACGGATATCGATCCGTAAAATATCGATAATAAAACAATTATTCCAGTCGGTACTTTATACAGTCCTATATTTCATAATAATAATAATAATAATAATAATAATAATAATAATAATAATAATAATAATAAATTCTAATTCCACGATATTTTTAAAATTCAATAAAAAAAATTTTTTTTATACATAAAACGTATAAACGTTCCATTCGTTTCTCTTCTCCCCCCTTTTTTTTTTTTTATTCGGTTTAAAAATAAAAATTTGAAATTTAAATTTAAAGTCGAATAAATAAATAATAAATAAAAAAGATAACGATAACGATAATAATAATAATAATAAAACTATTTCAAAAAAAATTTTTTTTTACGCACACACACGATCGCAAATTTTCTTCATTTCATTCTTCTCTTCTTTGTTATTATTATTATTATTAATTTTTTTTTTTGCGCAAATTCGTTAACGTTTCCCCCTCCCCCAAACACCACCACCACCCTCTTAACAAAAATAATAATAATAATAATAATCACAATCGAACGATAAATATAAAATTTTTTTGTTACCTTCATCGTAAAAAGTTATGTTTCCCAACGACGATATCGTGCAATAATTACCAAATTTTTCAAACGATCCATTATTATTATTATTATCATCTATTTCCGGTAAAAACCAACCACAATCCATTTCTTGATTTACATTATATCTGTAAAAATAAATAAATAAATAAATAAATAAATGATGATGATGATGACGATAAAATAAAATGAACGAAGGTAAAGTTTTGAAAATTTTTTTTTTTTATTGTTATTGTTGGGTGCGTGAGTGCGTGCGTGCGTGCACACGCACTTACGCACATTTTTAGTTCTTGTTTATATATATGTTAAACGTTTACCACCGACAATGGAAATTATATGGAATATATAAAGCATTATAATTTGCATATAAAACGATGAATTTCGACCCTCGTACTCCTTCTGTCGTATCATATAAATTAATGGGTAAATCGCATTGTAAATTTATTACAAACGTTTACAAACCGACAGTAAAACCATGTTTAACATTGTTCATTGTAATTTTTTTGTTTATTTATTTATTTATTTATTGCAAAAAAAATCGAATCAAATTTTTTTCTTTTTTTTTTTATTATTTAATTTGTTTCGTGATAAAAAATTCAAAACAACAATAACAACAACAACAACAACAAACGATGCTAATAATAAAAAAAAAGTAAAAATGAAAGTAAAAGTAAAAAAAAAAAAAAATATTGACTTAATTTAACGACTAAGAAAATTAAAAAAAAAAGGAAGAAAAGGGAAGAAAGATATTGATGATGATGACGATGATAATGATGATTATGATGATGATAATGATATTAATTATTTCATTATTATTATTATTATTTGACGGTGTTGACATTTAAAAAATAAAAACAAGAAAAATTTTTATTTTTATTTTTTTGTTACCGGTCCTTTAAAAATATCCCTATTTTTTTCTTTCCTCCCCCCACCATTTTATCCCCATCATTTGTTTAATGTGATAATAATGATGATGATGATAATGATGATAATAAGTTTAAAAACGTAATGGTAATTTTGTGAGAATAAAAAACTTTTTTTTTTTTTTATAGTAAGTTTTATTAATAACGTAACGGATTACGCTTACGTACATAAAAATACAAATTTTCTTTTATTATTATTATTATTAAAATTAAAATTTTTTCAATTTTCACAATTTTTCCTTTCCTTAAAAAACCAACTGTCGGAAAAATTTTTTTCTTTGACAAATGTCAATTTCCTTTTAATAAAAAAAGTTAAGAATTTATAAAATTTATAAAATTCACTCGTTTATTTTTATATTTATACTTAACGGTTTTTTTTCAACATACCTTTTTCCCGCCTCCCCCTCCAAGGTAAATAATAAAGGTTTTGATATATTTTCCGACAGCAACAAATAACAACATCACACAAAAAAAAGAAAAGAAAATTACGACAGGGGTTAAAAGGTTAGTCGTTAATATTTTCATATAAACACATATTATTTAAAGTATTTACCTTATACTCGAAATAATTTACGCTTTCTGCCTTTAATCCCTGCCCCCTCCCCTCCCTTTTTTTAGAACTGCCTTTCGTACCTGAAACCTTGACTAAATAATGGACGAATTTAACGCAAATATGATGATGAAAACGTTACCATTTTTTCAACTTAAATTAATAAATTTTTATTTTTGAATGAAATAAAAATTTTAATTATATTAAATATATATATTCAATTGAAATTTAATAATAATAATAATAATAATAATAATAATAATAATAATAATAATACTAATAATGATAATAATAATAATTTATTTGTACTTTTACGCGTTATTAAAAAAGCTTTTACTTGGATTAACAGAAAAAAAAATGTTTTGTGTTGTGAAAAAATGGAAACGTGGTGGAAAATCATTTAAAATTAATAAAATATATCAATAAATAAATTTATTCGTAATTATTTAAATTTATCGGTGGGAAGGGGTATTGGGAAATGGTAAAATGGGGACCCGGGGGGTAATTCGATTACCGTAAGTAAAAGTGGTAAAAAATAATAAAACTTACCATTCGTAATACAAACATTAATTATCATCCTTTTTAATTTATTAATTTTCCGGTTTTGTTTTTTACAAATATTTAATAATTTTAATTTAATTATTTATTTATTTATTAACTTATAAAAATTTTTTTAATAAATAAAAAATTTACATTAAATCACATTAATAAAACAATAATAAAACACAAAAAATTACACGCGGTATTTTAAACAACCAAACAAACAAACAAAATTAATTAATTAACGCCGAATTTTTTTATCGTTTTCCTATTTAATCGTTTCCGATATAAAAACCTGGAACATGTTACGACGACCACGATGACGATGACTATGATGATGACGCCGAAGACAACAATAATAATAATAAAAAAAACGGGGAAGAAGGAAAAGTGGAAATAACGTGACGCGCAAAATCTAAATTCAAAACTCTTAATTTTTCGCGTTATAATAAAAATTTTTAAAAATGTTTTTGTTTTTATTTATTTATTTATTTTTTTTGTTATTATTATTTATTTATTTATTTTTTTTTTTGTTAATAATCTTTTGTTTGAAGTGATAAATAAATAAATAAATAAATCGATATTTATATTTTTTTTTTAAATTTTCGTACGTAAAAGTTTCGAACAAATAAACAAACAAACAAACAAACAAACGAACAAACGAAAAATTTAATTATTTAAATTTCGATCGTGAGGTAATCAAAGCAATAATAATAATAATAATGATTTTTTTGTAACACGAACGATATATATATGTATGGAATAAATTTTAATTAAGTTATTATTGCCACGTTTTTATTTATTTATTTATCATGTTATGTAAATTTTTTTAAAATTATTTTACCTTTTTTCCTTTGATTTATCTAATAATAATAATTTTTTTTTATTCTTACCTTTTTTATAATAAAAGGAAAAAAGGTAGGGTATGATGAGGAGTGCAATAATAATTTCATAAATGTTTAACTTACGAGAGAATAAAAAAAATATCAAAAAATGAAAATTTTATTTCGTTTGCTACGTCATCACTTATCATACGACTCCCCTTTTGTTTAAAAATAAATTTTAATAAGTGTTACACGAGATTATAAAAATAATAATTAATAATAAATTTGTACTGTGAAAGAGAGAGAGAGAGAGAGGGAGATGTTATAATTTTTTTTTTGTAATTACAAAATTCCAGAATATCCATATCCGCCACCGTAACCGTAACCCAATCCTTGTCCCAAACCGTATCCGAATCCACCGATGGAATTAATGGATCCCAAACCCGTACCTAATCCGGTACCTAAACCGTAACCCGGATATAACGTTTTAAAACCATATCCAGAATGTAATCCTTTTCCAACGATTCCTCCTCCGTAACCCAAAGGAGGAAGAGGACCTCCTACTCCTCCTAATAATCCAACAGCACCACCACCGTATCCGAGTCCTTGTCCGTATCCGTATTGACCTCCACCACCGTATAATCCATTAAGCCTGTGACTTATTAATCCTAATAAAAAAAAAACAACCGGATTAAAAAAAAACCGTTAAAAAATTTTCCTTTCTTTCTTTTTTCATAACCATAAGATAAACATTGATTTTACCTCCGGCAACCGGTTGTATATCCGTATTGTAAATTGTACCAGCGTGAGTAGAAATCAAAACGACAGGAAAAATAATAAAAATAACCTAAAGGTAACAATAATAATAATTATTATTATCGAAAAAAGATTCGAAAGAAGAAGGGGGGTGAAAAACCTTTTAATAGAATAAAATTTTCCTTTCTTCCCTTTTTTTTTTTTTTTTTTATTAAATTTTCTTAAAATCTCGGAAAATTTTATTATGAAAATAATTAAGTTACAAAACTTTTTTTTTTAAACCGGAAACGCTTAAGGCTAAAAACTTACGACTACTTCGCTTACCGATTTCATCTTCATCATTATTATTATCGTTCCAAAAAAAATTTTCTTTTCCTCGTGTTTTTCCCACAAAAAAATGATGAAGATGATGATGATGATGATAAGAAACAATTGATACTCAAACTTTGACAATTATTTAATGGGTATATATACTCACACGTTGACACCGAACGAACGGGTACTAAAAAAAAAAACTTTTCAAGGTCATTTACGTAACGTCCGTTAAATATTTTTTACACGTTTTAAAAGAATGACGGGGGGATGGGGAGGAAGGAAAAGAAATCTTGAAATCCTCACTTGTTAAATACTACTAATAATAATGATCTTTCTTTGTAACGTCGCGTAACGGTTATTACATAATCCGTTCGATTTTTTAAAAAAAATCCAGCGAATGTTTTTCCAGCATTTAAATTATTATTATTATTATTATCGTTTGAAACGAACGTTTCATTACGTCATTAAGTGATAAGATGTTTTTGTGATAACGTAAAATCAAAAAACACGTTTTTACATTGGAAAACAATGATGATCGTTCATAGATTTTCAAATTTCGAAACTTTTTCCCATTGCGACACGTTCGCATACACACACACGAACACTCTTATGTCACGCACACACACACGCATTCTCTTACGTCACACTCACGCAGACACACACACTCACTCACGGTCGTAATCAATTAACGAACGATTATTTTCATCTTCGTGATACTATAATAGAGTTTTATATTTTTTCTTGTTTTTTTTTTTTTTTTTACGAAATATTAAAAATACCGGAGATGATTTAAAAAAAAAAAAATTATTTCCGGTTTTAAAATAATAATTTTTTTTTTTTTTAATTTCTTTTTCCTTTTTTCCCACGATGAGAAGAAAGGAAAATTTTTTTTTTTTAAAACTCGGACGTTCGTTTTTTTTATTTATTTTTCAAAATTTTAAGATTTTAATCTCATACCGCATCTGCCTCTTTCGAATGTTATAAACATGAGAGAAAGAGAGAGAGAGAGAGAGAGAGAAAATGAGAGAGAGAGAGGGAGAGAAACGTTCGTTTCCACGGTCTCCCCCTCCCCCTACATATAATTGACTTTTGAAAAATATTCTAAAAAGTTTTTAGTCGAAACTTTCTCTTTTTTTATAAGGAGGGTAGAAGAGGCAGAGGAGGGATAGAGAGGGGATAGAAGAGGGATGGGGAGGGGAAT